CTATCGTCTTACCATAACCCGATTCTGGGGCTTCTGTTGATATTCTGCGCTCCAGATGTTGGCTGCAGCTGGGGCAGAGATAGCGGGATGTTCCCGGCCAGAAGCTGGGATGGGGAGGAGGGGATACTGGGCTCGTGTGCATGGGTGGAGAAGGAAAGAGGAATATGAATGTATGGTTGTAAATCCACCCCTACACACCCTCCTTTCTTTTCCCTTACAGCTGCTATTCTCAGCAGAGGGCAAGTTAGACCTCTGCTGTTCTCTGCTCTCTCTTGCAGAGTCGGAAGGACAAGGAAAGACCTAAACAGAAGCACAAAAAACGCCCGGAATCTCCCAGCAGCCTCACACCATCCTCGGTGCCCATTGCGCCTGAGAAGGTACCGACCCCTCCGGCCACTCGTGGGAGGACACGGGGCAGAGAGGGAGGGCAGCGGGACCATCCTGGCTTTGCCAGGAAGCGGGAAGGACGAGGCAGGAGAGCTGGGAAAAGGCTTTTCCGCTTATTTTTGATTCCTGATTTGTCACATTCCCGCTCCCTCCGCCTGCCTCCCCAGCTCAAGGCGCGCTCGGGGAATTCAGCGTGGCAGCTGGCTCGATTTGTGTCAGTGCTGACGACACGACGCCAGCCGGGAGCCAAACTCCCGAGTGGCTGCACTGCAAGTGCCAGCCTGTTGTGCAGCAGATGTGCGGAGCCGAACGCTCCCGCAGAACGGATAAATATCCGTGCTTGGGCCTTTTCCACTGGCACGCTGTGAACAGCGCGGGCAGGTGGAGGAGGAAGGCAAGGCTGGTGGGAGGAGGTGTTATTCTTCATTAGACAAAGTGATATAGCCGGGAGGATAAAAACAGGCAATCTTACAAATGCTAACATCCTCAAATGCATGAGAGGGAGCTTTGCTGCGTGGTAATTAGGGGCAACAGGAATTTGAGTCCCATTTAGCAATATTGACCCTTCACTAATTCCTTCTGCCCTGTGCTCTCAAAGCATTTCATGCCAATTATTGGTGGGCCTGATGAAGCTTCAGTTTACCCCACCAGGCCCTAAATTCCAGGGAAAATTCAGGCAGCTGGACAGCACGGCATCCCGTTCTGCTCCTGAGGACCAGGGGCAGTCCAGGATGCCCCTGGGAAGCCCTTCCTGGTCTGCGTGGGTTGTTCTGCCCTGATTCCACCCTATGCCCAGGGGCATGGTCAGGGTGTCAGGGTGTTTCTGCTCCTCTCTGCTGGAATCTCGCTGGTGGCTTTTGCACCTGGCTGTAAATCACAACAGCCTTGAGGTTTCTGCAACTCGTGCCAGCTCCAAACTGCAGTAAAGCAGGACAGACACAGTGGAACTTGCCTCGAGCTTGCAGGGAACAAGGTGAAGGCCAAGTTTGCCCTTGTAGCGGGTCAGGGAACACGTGAGGTTAGTCCAGCACCTTGACCTTTGGAGTTGCACTCTCTGTATCAGCAAAGTAAACTAAAGCAACTCCTTAGCTATAAGTAAGAGTAGGACTGGGACTTGCTTCTGCTAGAGGAAATAAACAGTGTCCCATCCAAATGCTATCTGGAAAAGCTTGTGTGTCTTTTCCATGTCAGAAATGCACAGGCATCTTCATGTGAAAGGGGCAGTGCAGAAAGGGCCGCTCCTGGGGATCGCCAGCGGCTGTTTCGGGTCAGGATTTTCTGTGCTCTTTATGAAGCTAAACTTAGAAATGGGGGAGAGAGACCCGTTAGAGCTGCAATGGCAGAGGGGGAAGCAGGAGGGAGGACTGTGCTCAGCTGCACCCGCTCCCGTGAGCAGGTTAGGGCAGCCCCGCTCCGGCGCCTGGGAGCAGCGGATTCGCCCGGCTAACGGAGCTGTCAGGAACCGATGGCTTTAAGAAGATTATTTTCAAGCTAAACTGAAACCCAAAACCTGACTCTTGGCCAGTTAGAATAGTTGTTAGACAATTACCCACTGTGTCCTCCAGAGCCCTGCCAGACCTTTCTGAATAAGGAGGGAACGGCGTAATTCAATTTTGCAGGCAGCTTTCAGCTCTTTGTAAGCTAAAATTTAGAGGATCCTAATTACTGTAGCTGTGCGTGAGTGACAAGCTTTTCGTGTTTCCTTAGGGAGTCTTCATTAATCTCCATAGCAGGGAGTGTTCTCCCTTGCTTTTTTTTTGTGCATAGACCCCTAAATCCTACTCCAACTCCTTGTGACCCAAAGTTCCCACTCTGCATCACTAGGAGCTGCTCTGTGACCCCCTGCAACCCCCGGTCGATGGTTGTGTGAGGTTTTCTAGACAGTCGGACGGGGGTAACGTTGTACTGACTGCTCTGGTGTAAAACCTTGAGCGTGTCCATGCAGGTCTCTTCCGCAGAGCCGAATCCCTCTTTGTCCTTTGTGGGTCTTAGATGAGTAGTTGGAGATTGGAGCCTGTTCCTTTCTTCGCCCCTTGCTTGCTGCAAGATCCGTTGCTGCTCTTTTATCCCCTCCGAGGCTGTCTCCTATGCCGAGAACCGCCACGTTATGCAGGGAAGCCGAGCACAAAGTCCCCAGGGATAATCCCTGCAGGGGACACGGTCACAAGAGCAGAAGGAGCAACCTCCCCATTGCTCTTCTCATCTCCTTGGGGCTCTCCTGCTGCTGCGAGCGACACTGCTGCTCTTTCAGCCCAAGGCCCCTTTTGGGCTTGGGGAAGCACTGATGACAAGGGGATTTTTGAATGTCACCAGGCTGAGGAATGTCTCTTTGCAGCTGTGGCCCAATATACACCTTGAATTTTGCAATCCAGCTTTATTTTTCAGTTCCAATTTTCACCTAATACGTCACCCACCCCGTGCTCCCCTCTTGAACCGTTTAGTTGCAAAGAAGTAGCTTTGATGTGGTTTCAGTCTTCCTCTTGAAATGAATTGTGCCAGACCTCTGACTTGGGCCAGATTTTAGAACATGCCACCGAGAACATCCCTGCAGCTTCTAGGAACCTGCGATTGCTGATACCCTGCGCCTGCCCCCGGCAGGGCTCCTCGTCCCGTGGTGCGATGAGAAGCTCTCGCTGTTTTGCTGCTCAGCAGGTTCTGGGGATAAACAAGCTGAAAACCCAGTGGTGGCCTCAGCTCCCATCTACACCGGAAAGCGAAACTAGGGTGTGAATTTACAGCATGCAAATGCCTCTCTGCAGCACCTCCTGCGAGTGAGCTCGGTGCCGCTGGAAAGCAGCGCCGGGCGATGCAGTTTTCATTGCTCCCACGCCGGGCAGCGGGAGAGTCCCCGCGAGGCAGCACACGGAGCGCCTCGCGTCCGGGAAGCGCCCCCGAAACTCCGGAATGCACCCAGGGAGCAAAGCCTGTGAGAAGCCCCGGGAAAAGGTGGCCTCGAGGCGGCAGCTCGAGGGCGAGGAGGGAAGGGAGCAGCTGGGAGTCAGCACCTGGGCTCGGAAGCCGGAGCTGCGGTGACACTGATGGATCCCGGAGCCTCCGTGACGCTGACGGATCCCGGAGCCTCCACGCGGTGCCGGCCTCAGGCAAATTCCCAGTCCCTGTGATGGGCTTGGGGTTTGGAGGGGAGGCTACTGATTCCTCTGGCTAATCCGCTGCAAATCAGAGCGTGTCTCAGCATGGCCATTTGCAGGAAGAATCCTAAGCCTTTTAGCATCCCTTGTCCTGACACCAGTGGGAATTTGCCAGTGACATCAAGGACATAAAACCCGGTCACCAGCCCATCTGTGCCTCCCGTCCCTGCCCTCCCCGATCGTGGGGCTCATGCAGCAATGCTGGAGCTCACAGCAGCGCCTAGACAGGCCCAAAGCTCCTGATGGAACCGCGTTCGACCTCTGCCGAGCGATCCGGTTCGGAAAAGCACCTGATGCCGACGGTTTCCTTGGGAAGCAGCTATGCCGGGGCCGGAGCAGCCCCCGCTGGCACCGCTCGCTCCTCACCTGCGTCCTCCCTGCTCCCATCTCCAGTAGTTTGATCCCAGGCAGAGCACCTCCACCCTCCTGCATCCCCACAGTGCTTCCCTCTGGGAGCTGGTGCCGCCGGGCAGCGGGCACAGAGCCGCTCTTCTGATTTCCCATAAATAAAAGGATGACTGAGGAGCCTGGAGGCTGCACAGGTACCGCTCCATGGGGGACAAGGTGCGTGACGTGGCCTCCCCTCGCTCAGCGCACAGGGAGAAGCACGAGTTTCCCTCCTGGGACAGGACAGCAGGTTTCTCCTGGCTACACTTTTCACCCAGGTGCTGGAAACAGCCCTTCAAAATGCAGCTGCGGCCTCGTTTTGGAACAGACCGCTCACGTCCTCAGCACTTCCCTGTTGTCCTTGCTCTGCAGCGAGCCGTCCCATGTGCACACGCGTGTGCAGCGCACGCGGGGCAGGCGTGCAAGCAGGAACATGACCACAAGCACAAGCACAAGCATGAGCGCGCGCACGGCCCCGTGCTGCAGCCAGGCTCGCTCCAAAGCCCAAGCTCACACACAAGCGAGCAGCTGGGCTGCAGATTTCTCCGGTCCTGCTCCCGCCAGGCAGCAGCCCTGGGCTGGAGAACCTCCTTCCTTAGGGAGCCGATGGGATAGAGCCCCTTGTTGCTAATGTTGGCATTAGGGCAGCAGACCCAGGTCCGGTGCTCAGCAGTCACTGGGCACCTCCTGGAAGACTCCGCGGCCTCGCCGGGCTCCGTGGAGCAAAGTGGGGAAGAAGCAGAGGCCCGGGGAGGGAAAATGCCTTCCTGTGGTTTCGCTTTCCCTCTCGTTGCTCCTCGGTTGTGAGACTTGGGCCCTTGCCCCAAGCCGAGGCTCCCGGGAGCAGCTGCCAGGGCCGGGGCCGCGGTGGCGAGGAGGGCCCGCGGTAGCGCGCGGATCTGCTCGCCGTGACCTATTTGGCAAGCGCCGCTCTCTCGAGGAGAGCGTTTGGCAGGAGCTGCTGGAACGCTGCTCCCGAGGTCTTTGGGAGGCTGAGGGAGATGCCGAGGTCACATCAGTCACGTCAGCCCCGCAGGTGAGTGGCTCTGCTCCGGTCACTGCCTTCGGCTGAGCCAGCTCAGCCTCTCCCCTTCTTTTATTTATTTATTTTTCCTTTAATATTGCAGTCAAGATTTATATCCCAGCTCAGATTTCCCCCTTCCACCCCGCACTAATTCCCTACTTGCCCAGCACTCCCTTCTTGACACCGCGGATTCAGAACATGTCTTTTCATGCGGTTTCTCCCAGCCCTTCCGTGGCCTCGTGCACCTAGTGCAAAGCCCTGGAGAGGTGAATTGATAGGGGGGGTATTTGGGGCTTTGCATTTCTGCAGAGGCGTGAGACATCTTGTCCCTGTGACTTTGTGAACAGGCTGAGTGCTTCCCATAGCCCCCAGACACCACTCTGCCCTCCCTCCCCAGGCAGATGTGGAAAGTCGGAAAGATTTTCTTGCTCCCTCTGAGATCGTAAATCAAGAAGGCTTAATGTCCTACATGGAGGAGGCTGCGATGAGAAAATACAGATCCCCCTTCTCCCCCCGCTAATTTCCACCACTCCCTTCCTCCTGTCTTTCATATTCTCGGCACATCTGGTGCGGGTTAGGCTGCCAGCTGTTGCATTGTGCAGAGTGATTAAACCATGTGGGAGGAACAGGGAAAGATTTTTATCTGGGCACTCATGAGTCTGCATTACAAGCACTTTTCTCTTTAATTCTCCCCAAGAAGAGGTCATCAGTGGCACGTGAAAAGGACTTTTTACCTGGGTCTCTCTTTTGTCTGCTTCTCAGTAAGAAATAAAAGGCGTTGCTATTAATTAACAGGTGTTATAATTTAGGTTGTGGCCATTGCAGTGGAACTGTATCTATAATAGTGATTTGGTTGAAGTAATATCTTGGAAGAAGTGACCTCTGAGCACAGTTTGGCTTTAGAGTGACTTGGAGGTGAAGGTTTCACAGCCTCATGTGGATGCCCTGAGGGATCTGGGGTTTGGTTTGTTCCATTCTCCTTCTGCTGAACTCCAACACTTCTGCGTCTCATCCCAAGCTCCCGGATTTCCTTGCATCTGGCCAGTCTCTTCATTCCCTTTGCCTCTGTCTCCTGCAGGCTTACATGGGGCTTGGAAGGCATCTGTCACTGCGTGGTCACATTGCTCTAATAATATCACTGTGCCAAACGTTTGCTGCAGCAGATTCCTGGGAAGATCCTTGGCCCTGCCAGAGCTCAGGTTGGAAGTGGAGGATGTGTTAGGGAACATCCAGAAGCTCCTATTGCAGCCAAGCAAAGACAAGTTGTCCGCAGGTGGCACGACCTTGCAGGGAGCCTCCACCTGAGGGATGCAGCTGGGATGTGTGTTTGAATCACACTCAAGCTCAGGTGTTTTGGGGATTGAAGAAGCCCCTGCAAGCGATGCAGAGAAGCTGGGCTCTGTGTCCCCGTGCTGCAGGTGCCTGCTTGGTTTCCCAGGGGAATTTGGGCTGTATGGCAGCTGTAGGAGGATAAACCCTGGTGCCAGGGAGTGAGTGGTGCAGTGGGAATGTTGCCTTTCTTCCTGATCTTGAGTAATATGACCCGACCATCACTTTGTGGCAATTACTTTTAAGGGGAAATTGGTAAAAAGAGCCCCTGCTGTGACCACATCTGGCCTGACTGAGCAGCCTCTCTGTTTGCCCTTTGCTAGGGCTCCAGCAGCCACCATGAGGGGAGCAAAGAGCCCTCGGACGTGGGCAGGTCGGAGGTGAAAGGCAAGAAATCCTCCAGCCATGGCAGCAGCCACAAGGGGAAAAAGACGGGAAGCGGGAAAAGCTCGACCGGCTTCAGCTCGGCCTCATCCAGCGGGACGTTCCAGCCTGCAGGTAAGGGGCGAGCAGGAAAGAGGAGGGGAGAAGGGGCTTGGCTCTTCCTTGGTGTCTCTGTGTCTCTGAAGGTACCTGCCTGCTCACCAGCTGCTGACTGTTATTTCTTTAATCCCTGGAAGAGAAAGGGAAAAGTCTCCTTGTTAGTAACTCCCTGCACTGCCCTTGCCGGGTCCCCTCCGCTCGGACCTCGCTGGGCTCTTTTGGGGGCTGTTGCTGGAGCTGCCGGGGTGTTTCGTGAAGACATGGGGTGATTCAGGGCCCTGGGGCAGAGCTGAGCGTGTCTGGCTGGGGTGAACCTGCTGGTGGGCACATCTGGTGCCAGCCGAGAGCACCAGGGCCGTGGTGGGAGCAGGGGCTGGGATGTGACACGTCCTGCAGCTCAGGAGCTGGCCCGTGCTGGGGATGTGCCTTGCGCTGGGTTACTGCCACCATGGGCTTTCCTGCATCTTGTCCCTCTCTGCTTCCCCGCAGGCACCTCCTGCAGCTCCTTGCAGTGTTCCCAGGACTTCGTGACATTCCCCAAGCTCGAGCAGGAGGACGAGAAGTACCGCAAGCCTGTCTCCTCCTCCTCCTCTTCCCACTGCTCCCCGCTGTATGAAGGCCAGAAAGGGGACGTGTTTGAGCAGAAGGTCATCTTCTCCGGCTTCGGCTCCATCATGCGCTTCTCCACGTCGGCCGTGAGCCAGCAGAGAGGCCGCGACGCCTCCCCCGTGGACTACAAGGTCTCCAACCCGGTGAGCGGCCCCTCGGCGGGGAGCAGCGGGGCCAGCAGCAGCCACAAGCGGATGCCCTCGCTCAGCATCGAGGAGGGAGAGGTGCTGAAGGAAAAGAAGCACAAAGGCAGCAAGAAAAACAAGCACGGACCTGGCAGGCCCAAAGGGGGCAAAAGCAAAGAGATTTTGGGGGCCCAGCTGGCTGGGTCCACGTCCACCTCCTCGTCGCCCTTCTCTGGGGGCTCTCTCGTTAGCTCCAGCGTTGGCAACTCGTCACGGTCCTTCAGCCACACGGGGAACCTGCCCAGCCTCAGCATGGAGTCCCCACTGCTGGGTTCAGGTAGGCTTCCAGTTCTTCCTATCCCTGCTCCCTCCAGTGTCACATTCGGCCGGTGGCCGAACCTGTGTCTGCACCAAGTCGCTTTAATTCAGTCCTGGGAGCTATAAAAGTCCTGGTCCTTATTTAAAAGCCCTTATTTAAAATCGCTCTTATTTAAAACTGCTTCACGCTGATCAACGCTGGTACAACTGGCCATCCCGGTCCCATCACATCTCCTTAGTGCTGGGGACCTCTCCAAGGGGCTCCCAGCCGGAGCGCCCGTTCCAACGAGGGCAGCCGGGATGGGCGGCAGGAAGGGGTTAAGGCAGCGGGCAGAGGAGGGGCCTGCTGCTTGGGCTGAGGTTTGACACTGTTCTGGCAGCAGGACTTGTCCCGGGTCTATTGCGGCTTGTTTGCAGATGCTCCGTTTTGGGTCACGTTGCGTGTGTCGGGGGCCGCTTTGCTGCGTGCGCCGGGGAGCTGCGGCCCATTTGTCTGCCCAGCCCGAGAGCTGGGAGAGGAGCTGCAAGAACTGACGCAGCTTCAGGCTGGATTTTCGTGCTTGTGGGAGCAACAAAGGGATGTTTGGGTGGGGAGGAGGCTGCCAAGCCCCACGGGTCCCATCCTTCTCTTAAGGAGAGCCACTCCCCCCCGAGTGGAGGGGAAAGCCGATGGGTCCCCTCCCGCTGCAGTTACCTCCTCATCCTTCCTTCCTCCATTGCCCCCTTCCTTCCCCGGTTATCGGTGCGTGGGGGCTCCGGGTCCTCCCCCGCTTCTGCCGCTGGCTCCTGCTCCGGGTGAGTCACTCGGTGCTGCGGTTTCCCCACGGGATCACGTCGGGGTGCGACAAGCAAGCAAGCAGGGACAGCGGGAAGGATTCCAAGGCTGGAAGAGCTTTGGCTGCCTTTTGGCAGGAGGGTTGTGGCTTGTCAACACCCTCGCTGCAGGCCTGGCCGCGAGCTGCCGAAGTGGAGGCTGCGTTTGATCCTGGGCGCTGGTGTCGCCCTCCCAGCCGGCTGCTCGCGGGGCTCCGGGTTTGGACAATTCCAAAATGGATCGGGCCGGCTCTGCTCTGGGGAGCTCTGGAGTGTTCCTGTTGCTACAGGGCAGGGGATCCTTTTGGGACCTGTTGCAGCACAGCCTGCACAGGGGGCCCCGGGTGACAGCTCCATCCCGGTACATGCAGCTCAGTGGAGATGGTCCAGTCTGCCCTGATGCCCTTTAATCTACGGATGCCAAAAGCATCTGTAGGGATGTGGAGCTGCTGGAGAGAGTCCAGCGCAGGGCCACAAGGATGATCAGGGGCCTGGAACATCTGCCCTATGAGGAGAGGCTGAGGGAGCTGGGCCTGTTCAGCTGGAGAAGAGAAGGCTGAGAGGGGACCTGAGCAGTGTCTAGAAGTACCTCAAGGGAGGCAGTGAGGAGGATGGTGCTGGTCTCTTTTCACTGGTGGCCACCGACAGAACTAGAGGAAACGGCTGGAAACTGAAACACCAAAAGTTCCCCAGGACCTTAAGGAAAAAATTCTTAACAGTGAGGGTGCCAGAGCACTGGAACAGGCTGCCCAGAGAGGTTGTGGAGTCTCCTTCTCTGGAGATCTTCAAACCCGCTTGGACGCAGTCCTGTGCCACGTGCTCTAGGTGACCCTGCGTGTGCAGGGGGCTGGACTAGATGATCCCTAGAGGTCCCTTCCAACCTTCAGCATTCTGTGAAAAGCGGCCGGCTCCAACATGCATCTTCTCCCCTTCCCATGCTGCGTTTTTCCGCAGGGATCTACACCAGCAACAAGGACCCCATTTCGCACGGGGGCGGCGTGCTGCGCGCGGTGTGCAGCACCCCGCTGTCCTCCAGCCTGCTGGCGCACCAGGCCACAGCGTCCCTGCCGCAGCTCACCCGCTCGCCCTTCGCTAGCACCATCCCAGCCTCCTCTTCCTCGGTCTCCACCACGCAGGTGAGAACGTCGCGAGCGGGACGGTCGGGAGGGCGTTGGGAACAGTGGGCAGTGCAGGAGGGGACTGGGTGGCCGGTTGCTGTGTCCTGGGCTGCTCTTGCCCTGCTGCTTGGCTGGATGCTGGTGCCAACCCTGCTGGTGCCAACCCTGCTGGTGCCAACCCTGCCTTCGCTCTGCAGCGTGGATATCCCGGAGGATGTGGCTCCCCCGCCCCCCCGCGGGGGGCAGCGGGTGGGGGTGGGGGGGA